CTTGAGAGAAACATGTCTCTGCCAGCCAAGGTGGGGTTGGGGGTGAGAACCATAAAGACCAGAGCTGCCTCAGTGGTGACCAGCTTAGATCAGATGGTTCTCAGGAGACCCCCAGGTACAGGAGCAGGTCTGAGAAATATCTGATGACCCAAAGATGCACGAGAAATCATAAATGAGTGTGGCTTCAAGCCTGAGTTTGAGGGTGGTGTGTGATGTTACCATATCTAACAGGTACAGTACCCTCCCCTAATTCCCAAACTTGGCAAACAGGAAATGTCAAAGTACATGACCAATGTATGACGGATCAGAGCACAGACAAGAATATAGTCTTAAAGGAAGAGAATGTCAAGAGAACCAAACATACTTGGTGGTAAATAAATTTACTCACATACAGAGAAAGTGTCAGTCAGAAGAGAAATTAGTCAGAAACGGAAGCAGAAGGGACAATCAGTCAGATATCAAAGCAACAAGGTCTCTCTAACTCCCATCTGGGTAGAACTTGTCTGGCAGGTGTAGAGGGGAGCCAGTTTGCTAACAGGTCAACTCCAGTTGTAGAGATGGTCATGGCAGGGTAAGAGAGCCTGATGCCATTAAACAATCAAAAATTTAATTAACACATCTTAGCCAATTCCTCAATGTTTCTATAATTTGGGTCCCATGGAGAATTTGTGGTCAGGTTGAGTAAATTTCCAATCCACTTGACAGTTACATTTCTCACTGCGATTTAATTGACATCTGGTCTCATTCATTGGTCTTCATGTAAGGTTTGTTAGTGTACATCAGTATCCTCAAATCTGACCAAATTTGATTTGGGACCCTGATAGAATTTGAGTTTATTAGTCTGTAAGAATGAAGACTAGAATTGCGTTGGTAGCAAGCTCATCAGAATAAAAGCTGCCTTCTGATGTCCAGCCAGCTGGCCTCATGTAGCCTTTGCATTAATATCCTTCCTCCTTTCCAACTCTATGGTTAATGTTGTTATCTAGGTATATACAAATCTCAAGTGAGATCAGGGGAGTGATTACTCTTGGTGGATAGAAAAAGTTGGGGAAAGGAGGCACTGAGCTTGACCTACAGATTCAAAGACCTACTACTTAATGGTATCTTTCTTTTTTTATTTATTATTTTTAAATGTTTATTTACTTTTGAGAGAGGGGAGGGGTAGAGAGAGAGGGAGACACAGAATCCAAAGTAGGCTCCAGGCTCTGAGCTGTCAGCACAGCTCATGGGGCTTGAACTTACAAACTGAGATCATGACCTGAGCTGAAGTCAGAAGCTTAACTGACTGAGATACTCAGGTGCCCCTCTAATGGTATCTTTCCAGTCCATCGAATCTTACTTAGAAAGGTAGTCCTGGGATGGTAATTTACAAAGTTCAGACCATTTAGTTCAACGTCCTCTCTTTATGGAAGTGGACACTCAGGCTTAGAGAATTTGTACAAGTTGTCCAAATTCACATATCCCCCTGAATTCTCCATATGGGAAGATTCTCATCTGGTAGAGCCACAGATTTGTTCTTCCTGTGGTGTGGCTGATTCAACAGAGATCTGGGATGCTGAACAATTGTAGAAATGGTCATGCCAGGGCAGAAGCCATGCCTGTGTTTTACACCAAGAACCTGTTATGGTGCATGTCTGTTGGGGTCTCAACATGTGCTGCTGACTGGCTGAGGTTTGGTTGGGGAATGGTCCCTAGACCCTGTTCCTTGGTCTTGGGTTTGGCTGGTTAGGGCTTCCCATCTGCCATTGATTCTTTCAAGCTGTGATCTTGGCAAGAGCAATCCACTTACTTGTGCTTCATTACCTGTACTCTCTTTCCAACTGGTCGCACTCCCAGAAGGTAATAAGAAAAGCTTTCTTGATTGAGGATCCATGGAGATTTGTCAATCTTTTGTGTCTTCTACCTAACTTCTTCCTCTGAAATATATTCACTCTTGGTTCAAGTGTTGATTGAACCCTGAAAAATCTAGAAAGGTGTCTATAGAGGTGAAGGGAATGATATTGAGCTAAATTACAGAAACATTGAGAAATTTGCTAAGATGAGTTAAAGTATTTGATTGTTTAATGGCATCAGGCTTTCCTACCCTGGCATGACCATTTCTACAGTTGGGGTTCACCTGTCAGCAGGGAGTGCACAGGGCTGGAAGTTAGGAAGCCTGAGTTCTGGTGCTCTGGCTCTGGGGTCATTTGATTTCTTTGAGACACAGATTATTCCTCTGTAAAATGAAACTGTTTCACTACTTTATTGCTTTTAGCACTAATATTCTGTGGTTTCATTTTGAACTCACAAAAATTTCTTGTCTGCAGAATTGAAAAACTGAACGTTACTCCTATCGATTAAGAGAGCGCTGTCCTTGGTGCTGAATCCTGGGTCTTCCATCCATGGTTAGCTTCAGGAAAGAATCAGCTTCACAGAACATGGGCGCCAATGACATTTTTGACAACTATTAAGATTTAGATCTTAAAATATTACCCCAGTAAGCAGGTAATAAACCTGGGGCTTAAAGATTTTTCATAAACCTTTTGTTACCATATTTGTTCTATACTGTCCAGGCCTGCAGGATGATTTGGCAAAATGTCTTCCATGAAAAGTCTGTATTTTGATTCTATCACCATATATATCCCGTATTTTCTGGTACTGTTCCAATTTCAAATATGCTATCACATGGTTTTCACAAATCATTGAAACGTCCCTGACATTCTAATATTTTGTCACCTAGATCATACCTTTAGTCTGTTTCTTGTTTATAGGTGTAGTTTAATAATCTTTTGTCCAATGATGTGTCTAGATTTCTGGCCTTAAAATACCACCTTGGAATAGATGCTATCTGTTTGATATCTCTTGTGTTGAGATTGTAAAACTTCTAGATGAAGAGTTTCCAGGATTATTCTTTTTCATAAAAAAAAATCTCAGTAGAGGATATAGCTAAGTTTTGATGTGAGCTCCCATTCTCTGAACACGAAGGCAAAGAAATAAGAATTTCTGCATGTGTCATGCCTGCTCAATATCACATAAGAGTTAACAGGGATAAAACCTAAGACCTAAAACCTAAGTGAAATTTAGGTGTCTACACAGCACCAGAGGGTCCGGGTGATCATTCTTCCACCTCTACTTACTTGACCAGTTGCTTTGACAGTGTTGACATGCTAGTGGTGACACAATGGAGCCTGTTACCCAGTTAATGAATCAGTTTTCTGATCTGGATAGAGAAGTTGGACAATGGCCGGAGGCCAGTGATGGTCCACAAGCAACCTGTGGGTCTGTTTGGAGTGCTTCTCAAAACCACGTGAAAAAGTGTTCCATCTCAGGTGACTTGGTCTTCACCAAAAGCTCTGGCTCTCTGCCTCCCTTGAGACTGAGTTTCCTCACTCTCAGTGTTAGAGAACCCAATTCAAAGTTATACCAGATATTTAATTCAGGAAGTATTCACAAGGCCTTACCATGCACTGATCATGTGCTCTGACCATAGATGGAGCTGAGGGCTCACTGGCAGTGGGGGCTGCAGGGGGCAGAAACTACCCAAAGAAAGTGGTGGCAAAGGGCTGAGAAGTAAGAGGAGGATGGCTGCCTGGAAACCTCAGGAAGGGATTATGGTATTATGGTATGGACTCTGGTATCCAATCAGTGGTATGGGTGTATGAACATGGACTCTAGAGCCAGACAGCCCCAGGCTCAAGGCCCAACTTAGCTGCTTAATAGCTAGTTTTATGACCTTGGGAAGGTCATTTGACCCTTCCTAAATGTAAACACATTGATTTGTAAAAGGGTTGGAGTAAAAATAGCACCCTTACCTCACAGGATTGTGGTTGGTATTAAAGAAGATAATTTGTGTGAAGAGCTTAGTTCAGTGTCCATGAGTGCTTAATAAAAGGCAGCTCTCTTTACTACTTATGTGTATATATAACATGTGGATTGCTTGAGAGCATTAAGCAAGTAACTTAACATCTATCCTATCTGTCATCTCCCTTCTGCCTCCTTGGGCTGTGAGGATGTTGCATTTAGTTTTACAGTTTCTGCTCTCTCAGGATACATTAGCAATCTTGTCATCTTGCAGGTGGCTGCAGATGGATTGTTTGGTTTCACCTGTTTGGTGTAGTTTGGTGTAGACTGAGTTGTTCACTCTGTACCTGGAAGCCTACCTAGGCTCTCAGTGTCGGGGCCATCTCAATATCCATTCCATGGCAGTCTTCAGGGATGTCTCCCATCCTCTGTGAGTCTCAACAACCCCTAATACCTTGGCCAAACAATCACAGTTTCCTAAGTGCCTTCAGGATGTAAGTCAAAGGGGCCAGCTAGTTATGAAACAGCACCTGAGAGACCTCTTTAATTATTTCCTGTCCTAATCAAGTATGGCTTTTCATCCTTCTATCAAACAAGGCATCCTAATTATATGACTATAGTTGATCTTTTAAAATAAAGGCAGCAGTTAAAAAAACTCTTTGTCTTCTCATTGTCTCCTGTTATTCTGTCACTCAACTGGGTGGAAGTGGGTGGCTGCAGTGGGTAGAAGGGGTGTGACTTCCTCTTTTTTCTCCTTTTCCCTTTTATACATGAGGAATGTTTTCCTGTTTCCACCTTTCTCTGGCAAGACTTTTCCCCCTTTTTGCGCCACCTTTTATCACTACAAGACTGAGTATGTGTTTCTTTTCTTTGGCCCTTCTTCTGGTCTGATGAAAAATTCAACAATTTTATTGAATTTTCAGATCCTTCAGGCACCCTCTGTGAGCCTTAGACAGTATCACCCTGACCTGAGAACTGGTGCTAAGAACTGGTGATGCAGCCAATAACAACAAACAAAACAAACACTGCTACTGATACTGAAATCATGCTGACTACTCCTCACTCTCCTTTGTTGACTGCTCCCTGAGCCCTTAATGTGGGAGAGTCCCAGGGCTCAGCCCTTGACCTCCTCTTTTCCGTCTACATTTGCTCCCTTGGTGATGTCATCCAATGTCATGCTGTAAATACCTTCTACATGCCGATGACTCCAAAACTGCCTTCAGCCCAGACTCCTGAACTCCAGGCTTGTTGATCTAACTGCTTCCCCTGTAACTCTGCTCGATGTCTAGTAGGCATCTTAAACCTAACAAATCCAAAATGGATCTTCTGATATTTCCCATCAAACTTCTTTTGGCATCTTCACAACCTCAACTCCCTTTTTCAGCTGCCTAGACCAAACTCCGGTGCTCTCCTTGATGTCTCATTCTTCCACTTTTACATCCAATCTGTGGTAAGTCGTATTGCTCTACTTATAAAATATAGTTGAAATCTGACCTCATCTCATCACCTGCACTGTTCCGCTTTAGGTCTAGCCATTAGGATCTTTCATCGGGACTACTCCTATGGTCTCTCTGCATTAGCTCTCCAACTACCTACAGTATATTCTCCAAACAGTGTCAAGGTGATTCTGTAAAAACATAACTCATGTCTCTAAACCCTCCAATGGCTCATATACCAGAGTATGGGTCATAGTCCTTTCAATGGTCATGAATGATTCAGTTCCCACTACTTCTCTTCTCCCGAGCTCTCCCCCTTGCTTACTCTGTTCTACATTAGCATGCTTGGTTTTTCTTAGACAAGGTCACATGCATTCACCTCAAGCCTTTTGTACTCACTTTTCCTCTGTTTGGCATGCTTTTCTCCCAGACGCCTTCATGGTCACTTCTATCAGGCCCTCCATGGTTACCTACCTAAGACTGTGGCCCTCACCTCAGCCTAGCCCTCCCTGCTGAAACTTTATATATCTCTTTAGCATTTATCATTACTGTATTTACCTTCTTACACACATTTCTGCCGCTCCACGAGGGTGGGAACACTTCTCTGCTTTGACTACTAGACCCCCAGTCCTGACACAAAGGAGGCATTCAGTAGATAATTGTATATCCATTAACTCACTTAATTCTACAACAATTATGAGTCCTGATTTGTACATGAGGAAACTGAGGTTAAATAAATGGTCCAACATCACACAACTCGTAATGGCAAAGCTGGGATTTAATTCCAGGTTGTCTGGGTCTGAGCCCATGTACTTTGACAGTAGGCTCCACTTCCAGGGGGTGGTATGTGGTTTTCTGTCCCTGTGCCTGGGAGCTGCCATACTCCAGGGACCCAACATGTGTTGGTCATTGCCTTAATTCAGGCTGCCATAACAGAGTACCATAGACTGAGTGGCTTAAACAATAGAAACTTACTCTCTTATAGTTCTGGAGGCTCAAAGTCTGAGATCAGAGTGCCAGCACGATCAAGTTCTGGTCCTATCATGGGGCGCCTGGGTGGCTCAGTCGGTTGAGCGTCCGACTTCAGTTCAGGTCATGATCTCATGGTTCATGGGTTGGAGCCCCACGTCGGGCTCTGTGCTGACAGCTAGCTCAGAACCTGGAGCCTGTCTTCAGATTTTGTGTCTCCCTCTCTCTCTGACCCTCCTCTGCTCATGCTCTCTCTCTCTCTCTCTCTCAAAAGCAAATAAAACATTAAAAAAAATTTTTTTACAAAGTTCTGGTCCCATCACATTAGGACTCCATCCTTATAACCTCATTGTATCTTAATTACCTCCTAAAAACCTTATCTCCAAATACAGTCACATGGGGGTTTGAGGCTTCTACATATGAATTGGGGAGGGGAATGGCCCATTGCAATCCATAGCAGTCAGTCATTCCCCGGATTGGGCAGCTTGCTTTTAACTGCTCATGGTTTCCTTTGAGAAATAGGAAATGACCTCTGCCCACACCCTGCCACCTCCGGTCCCCAGGGACCAGAGAGGAGAGAATGTGAGCGCACGAGGGAGGCTGAAGCTTCTGGCTTGTCTGCCCTGGCTTCTGATTCAGATCCCTCCACCACGAAGCACAGCTCTCAGCTTCTCAGCAACAAGAATGGTGGTTCTGATAAATGGGTTTGCACAGAGGCATTTTCCAGGGTTAGAAGCAGTCTGTGCTGGCTCTGGGATCTGGACACCCTCTTACTTGTGCCACCTCAGGTCACAGAAAAGGTGGCCCTGGGCTGACTTGCATGTTTGGCTCACAGACCTGGGCATGCTGGGGTCAGCAGAGGAGAGCCCACTGGGCTAGGAAAGACCCGTGGGAAGTAGGGGGAAACTGGAGGCTGAGGCCCATGGCAGAATGGGCAGGAGGGGGCTGAGAGCACAAGGAACAGGCCGGGGAAAGGGCAGCTTGGAGTAAAAGGGCTTCCTCTTCTTTTTTCCTGACAGCTCAGGCTGGGCCCTGCCTTTCCAGACCTTCCTTGCCCACCTGTGGTGAGTGGAAGGAACTGCAGCTGCCCTCTCTCTCCACCTGCCCAGCTGAAGCCCACACTGGAGTGGCCTGGGCCCAGGGTTGCCAGATAAAATATAAGACCTCCCCCCCATTAATTCCAGATGAACAATGAATGTTTTTTTAGTATACGATAGTCTAAGTATGCCCCATGCAATAGTTTTACTAAAAAATGATTCTTTGTCTGGAATTCAAATTTAACTGGACGTCCTATATCTTTATTTGTGAGATCTGATACCACTACCTGGATTCTAACAGCAGCTCTCAAGGGTCTGCTTCTTCCAGGCAGCCTGGGCCAGAGCCTCAGCGCAAACTGAGTGCAAACTACCCATAACCATGTGTAAATCTTCACAGAGCAGAAGGAAGAGGCCAACTTTGCAGCAGAAGTCCAAGACCTTTCTGCCCCCTGGAATACTTTACCTATCTGGTAAGGTTGTAGCCTGAAATTCCATTATCTTTCTTTGGTCACCTAATGCAAAGCAGTGGGAAGCCAACTAGATGGTAAGGACCGAAGCTCTGAGTACGAAACTGCAGCCAATGAGCTGCATGGGGAAGAACGTAACCTCCCCAGGCCTGTGCATGGCTTTACCTGTTGAAGGGATATAAGACCCGTTTCACAGGCTTATTATAAAGATCACAAATTACAGCAGATGATAAAGCCATTTGGCATATAGAAGTGCTCAATAAGAATTAGCTGACACCATTTTTAGTGCAAAGAGGAAGAAGTCACCGAAAAAAGTCCTGGAAAATCCTGGGGAAGCAAGGAACCTACCAAGAGGGAAGAAGATGGAACAGAAGGAGAGGAGGCATCTGGGGATGGCTCTGCCTGTCACCATGGTCCTTACGTTGCTGCTGCTACAGTGGGGCCTCTAGAAGGGCTCAGTATGGGCCCCACCCTTGCTGGAAGCCAGGACACCATCTGTGAGGCAGAGAGTGGGAGCAGGTGGATTTCTATGGAAGAGAGAGGTAGAGGGACTTGAGGATTGGGAAGGGGTGGCAGAGAGCTCAGGAACATGAAGATTTGGCCATAACATTTGTTGGGTCTGAGAGAAAGGAGGTACAGAGGATGTAGGCAACCATGGCTACTGGGAAGATGGAAAGGACACTTATCTCTTAATATATATGAATGTCAATATAGGATGAGGATTACAATATACTTGGTATGAGAAAGTAAGTCTCCACTGGAATACTGAAGATATATCAAAGGAAATGAGAACTATAAGAAGTAGCTTGGTGGTATATAAATACAAGAAAAATATAATCAAACACTACCATAAATGTCTAATTGCCATGTTTCCCAGAAATGGTAATGAGGATCATGGCATATGCATTTCACTTGGCTCTTTTTTTAAATTTTTATTATTTATTTTTGAAAGAGAGACAGAATGCAAGTGGAGGAGGGGCAGAGAGAGAGGGAGACACAGAATCTAGAGTAGGCTCCAGGCTCTGAGCTGTCAGCACATAGCCCGATGCGGGGCTCAAACTCACGGACTGTGAGATCTTGACCTGGGCCGAGGTTGGATGCTTAACCGACTGAGCCACCTAGGTGCCCCACTTGGCTCTTAAGTTTAGTGTGATTATGACATTGGAGAGCCTTAGCCTTCAGAGGATACAAAGAGCTCTCTCGTGTGACCACCTGTAGATAATGGCACATTGTGGGTGCTGAGCATATTGGAAGATGGTGGCCTAAATGTAGGTGCCCATAAGGGGGTTAGTCCTGAGCCTTCCCTATGGAAGGCAAAGAGTTGTAGGGCTTGTGGCAAGAGTGCAATGGTGGCCTGTGGGCCATATGTTCACATATTAGAAGTTAGAAGTCAAGTTAACAACTGTTACATAAAACATGTTCACTTTTTACCTTGACACATGTACCCTTGTAATAACCTTGGAGGCCGTGTTCAAATTCAGAAACCCCAGATTCCTTGATGTTCTGTGGCACAACATAGTTGAATTTTCTGTCCGCCCCCCAGCCTGCAACCCATCCTCCTTTGCTTCACGTTCCTGGCTCTGTCCAGCACTTTGAGGGGCTGTGTTCTACTGCTGCGGTAGCAGATTACCACACACTTAGTAATTTATGACAACACAGATTTATTCTCTTACAGTTCTGGAAGTCAGATGGTGGGTCTCACAGGGGTACAATCAAGGTGTCGGCAGGGCTGCGTGTCTTTCTGGAGGAGAAATCTAGGGGAGAATCTGTTTCCTTTTTGTAGCTTCTTGAGGCTGCCCACGTCCTTGCCTGGTGGCCCCTTCCTCCTTCTTTGAAGACAGCAGTGTAGCATCTTCATCTCTCTCTCTCTCCTGCTTCCCTCTTCCACTTAGAAGGACTTTTGAGGCTCCTGGGTGGCTCAGTCGGTTAAGCGTCCGACTTCAGCTCAGGTCATGATCTCACGGTTCATGGGTTGGAGCCCCGTGTCGGGCTCTGTGTTGACAGCTCAGAGCCTGGAACCTGCTTTAGATTCTGTGTCTCCCTTTCTCTGCCCCTCCTCGACTCTCTCTCTCTCTCTGTCTCTCAAAAATAAACAAATGTTAAAAAAAAAAAAAAGAAGGGCTTTTGTGATTATGTTGGGGCCATCTGAATAATCCAGAATAATCTCTCCATCTCAAGATTCTTAATTTAACTCCATCTGCAAAGTCCCTTTGCCCTGTAAGGTAACATATTCACATGTTCTGGGGACTGACTGTGGACATCTTTGGAGGGGGAAATTATTCCATTTTTCCACAAGGTTCTTGTGCACGGTGTGGACATTCCACTCTCCCCTCCAAACAGCTGCTTTACGGGCCTATGGAGCAGCACACACGTGGCAAGTTCCATCCTTGAGAGGATGAATCAGGTGAAGAGCAACTTGCAAGTCCTGGAAGTGGATTTGGATCTGGCTGGGCAAAGCATGAAGGGTCCTGTGTACCTAGAGAACGGTTCAGAAGGGGGCATGAGCTCCGGATGTGAACAGCCTCTTGGTCCTAAGGACTTGTTGTCCCATAGGGAGGAATAGAGATGGAGAAGGACCAGAATGGAGCCCTATAAAGCTTGAGGCATAAGGTCTATAAAGCTTGAAGTTGGTTCTAAAGGTGATGTTGTCCCCAGACCCCCGGATCGTTTACTTGGGTTGAATGGACTGAAGTTATACGCAAAATCTTGTTGCTTTGAGTATACGTACATTTTGGGGGAAGAAGTTTTAGTTTTTATCAGATTTCCAAAGAGACCCAAAAAGGTTAAGGACTGCCATCCCTAACTATTCAGTTTACTCTCAAATAGCCCTTTCTGGGTCATTTCTGGGTCTTTCAGTCCACAAGGATACGGCTGCTGCCTTATCTCTGAGGTGTAAGCCCCCTGAACTGGCTTCTGCCTACGCAGTGAGCCTTTGCAGTGACTATTCTGGAGGACAGTGGGGGGCCTATGTGGGTTAACTGAAGTTCTGGCCTGCTGTGTAGAGAGGAGGACCACTTGGGGGAAGATGGGGGTAGCTGTTACTTTCTTTCTCTAGCCAGCAGAGGTCCCTAAACTCACCTGTCAAGCAGAAGTCAGGCCAGGAGCCAGATGGGAGACTGCAAATTTGGATCTGGCCATCACCGCCCAGGCCCCACCTGCATGGTGTGCCTGACAGGTGAGCCCAAGATGTGCTCTCCTTAGGAGGGGATTGGAGGACAAGAGAAACAACAGCAGTTTGCACCATATGCTTTTTATTTTCCAAGAAATTAAGCAGAGTTTCTTCCTCCCAGTGAATTTCCTTAACAAAGATATTTTAAAGCTTTGGAAAACATTCCTGTCCTACTTTAATTGTATGAAGACTGTCTGTGCTGGAAGAGAAAGATGGAGGAGGTGGGGGGGGGGAGAGAAGGGAGGGGAAAGGAGAGCTGGAGGAGGGAGAGGAGGGGAAGGAGGAGGAGAAGAGAACAAAGAATGTATTTGAGAAATTAAAGAGCAGCTCTTTCCCTGAATGAATTTCCCTCCCAATTTTCTTTCTTTAAAAATGTTTTAATTTATTTTTTGAAACAGAGAGAGCAAGAGAGAGAGAGACAGAGAGCACAAGTAGGGGAGGGGCAGAGAGGGGGTGCAGAGGATCCAAAGCAAGCTCTGTGCTGACAGCAGAGAGCCTGATGTGGGGCTTGAACTCATGAACCGTGACATCATGACCGGAGCCGATTCAGACGCTTAACCGACTGAGCCATCCGGGCGTTCCTCCCTCCCAATTTTCTCTTCCTAATCTGCTGCTGCCTCCAGGCCACCTTGCAAAGAATAACCACCTGATGTGTTGGGGAAAGAAGCCCACGGCTTTCTCTCCAGGGTCACGTTCCATCTGGTTCCAGCCCTCCACTCTTGCCAGTCTGTAGGAGGCTTCTGTGATGTTGGGGCACCTTCCATGGGGCATCTGAGTGAGGGGGTGGGGCAAAGAAAGGCACTGGTGGGCCCAGAAGCTCAGACTGTGGTGCCTGAGCGTGGGTACCTGGGCCCAGCTGCAGAGTCCGCTGTTGGGAGATGCCTGGAGATGCTGCTTAGCTCCTCAACTTCAGCTCCTTCCCGTCCTCCCACATGACAGCTTCTGGCCTCAGCATCCCTCTCCGACCCCACCCTGAGCCTAGCTCTCCCCCTCGTCTCCTTGTCAGTCCTGGTGTCAGGCCTGAAGGTTCTGGCAGCTCTACGCTGGTCAACGAGGTCTGTCTCTTCTTGGAGGAGAGGAACAAAGAGGAACCAAGAGGCACCAAGATGGCAGCCGAGGGGCATTCCATAGGATTTTTATCTTCTTCTGAAACAGAGTTTGAATTTCTCCCCCTACTGTATGCCTGACGTCACAGCTTCTGAGGGAGAAAGCCACTCTGGGGGAAACTGAGGCACTTATGAACTACCCACTGTACACTGGAGATTCTCCATGGTACCATATTCCTTTGGCTGATGGGCAAGAAGGACTGGCAAGAAGTCTTCCATTTCAGTGTCTGGTCAGCGCTGACTGGACACCTCTCTGTCCTTGAGACCAGAGCCTTGGGAAGTCCCCAGGGCACCCCCAGGCAGGACAGGGCCCCATCGTCACACTTGCCTTTAGTGCCTCAGAAGACAGATGGAGAACTGGGTCAGGGGAGGGCAGAATGGACAAAAAGATTGGGAAAATCTACCAGAAGGAAGCTCTGGGAGGGAAGGGACCCTGTCCTAGTTACTCTGCTCCCCCCCCCACCCCCCAGCACAGCACCTGGCAGAGAGAGGGTGTGTAAGGACTGATGACAAACCAGTGATTGCCCAAGGCCTCTGTCCGCTTGTCTGGAAAGTCTTTGGGTCTTGTCTAGCGCCGACAATCTGTGATGACACAGAAGAGGGTTGCTCTGAGGAGGAGTCTATTCCCTAAAGTATTGGAGGAAGAGCTTAAAAGCTGGCACCCTCCTTGTATGGGAAGGTGAGAGCTCGTTTATTCACTCCCTTCTTGACAATGATGTACTGAGTAT